ATTTTATACATAACTTTTTTATTATTTTAAAAATTTTAATCGGATAGAAAGTAAAAAAAATTGTATCTCGATAACATTAACATATTTTCTCACGGATTTATTTATTATATTATATTAATAATATTTTATGTAAAATTTAAATCGATCGATATCATTATTATTATTATAAACAAATGAAAAATAAATTTTTTAAAATTTAAATTATATATTTTTTCATTCAAAAACGAATCAATACAATAATAATAAATAAATAAAATTATGTAAATTACGCGGCCGCCATTTAATATTTTATATATATATATATATAAATGTTATCGTGTATTTTTAATAAAATAATAATAATAATAATAATAATGAAAAGATTTTCAGTTTTTTTTTTTTGTGAATTTTCTTTTATTTTTTGTAATTTTATTTTATTTATAAAATATATTTATGTGAATGTATTGCCAAGTGAAAAAAAAAAAAAAAAAATTATTTTTTAATTAAAATCCTATTTTATGTATTTTTCCCCAATACGTAACCTGTAATAAATAATAATAATAATAATAATAATCGAGAAAATAAATAAATGAATAATATAATTTTTATCATATTTTTTTTATTTTATTTTATTTTAATTAATTAATAAATAAAGTTTATAATTTAAAAAAAAAAAAAAACGAAAAACAAAAAATTTTTTTATTTATTTATAAAAATTGCATTAATAAATTATTTTTATTAATTTTTGGCTATCGTCTAATTGACTTACATAATTTAATTAATTATTAACTATTATTATTATTTCGACCGTTAATTAATTTATTATAACGCGTATTAAGCAATAAAATAAAAAAAAAGCTAAAATCACAATTTTTTTTTTTAAATTTAATTTTTTCACATTATTTATAAAGGATAAATTTTATATATGACGCCATTTTTAGGTTATTATTATTATTATTATTATTATTATTATTATTATTATTCATTTTCCTAAAGTACACTTTTTAAAATTTATTTATCTACATTTCAAGCTTTTTACCTAAACTTTTATTTTTAAATAAAAACATTTTATTATTATTTAAGTTTTTTAATAATAATATTTTATTTTTATTACGGTTAAATAGCACCATAGTTTTATATAAACAAAGCCGCCGCCGCCGCATTAATAATAATAATAATAATAATAATAATAATAATAATAATCAAAGAGAAAATCCATTATAATAATTTAAAAAAAAAAAAAAAAAAAAAAACGTAAAAGAATAAGTAAGAGTAATAATAATTATTATTATTATTTTTTTGTTTTGACATTTAATGATATAAAAATAAAATTTGGTAACTTTATAAAAAAACAACAACGTTAAACCAAAAACAAAAAAAAAAAAAAAACGCGGGAAAAAAAAATATTTAAAAAATTAAAAAGAAATAATAAAAAAGAAAATTCGAAAAGAATTATTATGTACATAATTTACAAAATTTATTTATGTATCACTCTAAAATTATTTTCGAATCATTTTAGAATTTAAATTTTAATAAACTCTCTCTCTCTCTCTCTATTAAAATTTTCCAAGGAAAATTCTTTCACAGAGTGTTAATAATTAGTTCGTGACTTATAATCATTCTATTTGGGAAAATCCATAAGTAATTCGACGACATATTTTTTTTTTTTTTTTCTCGAAAAAAAATAACAAACAACAAACGTTCAAGCGTTCCGACATTGTTCCGATATGACTTTTATAGCTTCGTTTGCTTTCGTGATAATTAATCTAAAAAAGAAAAAAATAAACACCAATCACGTGATAACCGATAAACTACTTTTCTTTTTTTTTTTTTTTTTTTTGCTAAAAACAAAAACAAAAATACCTATCCATGGCGTAAATTTCGTTGTCGTCCGTGTCTGGATTCGTGTATTTTAGTGTAATCAAATTGGGAATAGTTTTTCTCGATGAAATTCTAGCTATAGAAGACAGAGGCCTTTTCACGACCAACAGCGCATAACCCTTTCTTTTGGACAATTCCCGTAGGATAGTCAAATCCGTTTCGCTCACGACTAAATACGAATCGCACGAGTAACCATTTTCCCGACAGTGAAAATAAGCTTTCGTCTTATCGGATTTTAAATATTCGGAAAGGCAAACGATTTCCTGCGTTATTTCCTCTTCTTCTTCTTCTTCTCCTCCTCCTCCTCCACCACCTCCTCCGTAATATAACGTTTCTATTAATTATACAAAAACAATTTATCATAAATGAATACACGCTATCGAATTTTCATAAAATCTTAAACTCTTATACTTGCCTGGTACATTTTCATCGTCTATACTAAAAACGGGTACTAAATTCCTGTATAATTTTCCGACTTTATCTCTCGGACTAACGTGTCTATCGTTATCTCCGCTCCCCGACGAATTCACAATCAACTCTTTGAATTTTTCCTTGAAATCCGCACTTTTAGATTTGAAAACTTCCGATATTTTACCGAATATGTCTTGACCGTTGGGTGTTTTAATTGTTGTTTGACCGTTCGAATCGGTAACTTTATTAGTTTTCGAAGAATTCGAACAAACTATACATTTTTTAAAATCGTGATCTTCCAATCGATCCAACATACTCGCATAATAATCGTGTATGGCTTGGTACCCGCCTTTTTTTTTGTCAAACGAAAAAAGAAAAGAAAAATTTTTTTTTTTAAATAACTAATGCCATTGTCTGTCTTGACTTTGACACTTTTTTTTTTTTTGCAATTACCTGTCAACATGCTAATGTACTGAGTATTCTTTTGTAAAAACGATGCGATAACCATATACGTATATTGATCTTCATCGTCTCTACCCGAACCTAAAAAGCATAAATGTTTTCCGCCCGCGCTCGAATTCGCCGCTATGGATTGAACCTGAGCCGTGAACAAACCTTGTACGGCAACATTAAAAGCTGCCGGTTCTTGTAACATCTGTAAAAATTTTCCCAAATGAATTTTCCTCGGAAAATATATACATTTATCAAAGTAAAACCACAACAGGAAGAAAACTCACCAAGTTACAATCCAAATGGAATGCTGTCGGTAAATGGCCCGCGTTATACTGTTCAGCCGGCCTGCAATCGACCAGGAAAAACCTAACCCTTTCTATGGGTTCTTCTGAACCTTCGAAAAATTCATTTTCTTCAACGTTTTCAACTAGTTCGCTTGTCGACACGGGTAAGCATAAGGCCTGCGATAGGGGTTGATTTAAAAAAAAACACTCGGAATCGGTCGGATTCGTCCCGAAAAGTATTTCAAATAATTCCTGTAAATCATCGCCATTTTTAATCATTTACAATAATAAAACTTTTTTATTTTTTTATTTTTTTTCGAACCTTCATAAGTGTGAAATTTTATAATTTACCTCCACGACTTCTTTCATATATTTAATTTATGCAAACTTACGTACCTAGATATATAAACCTTTTGTAAAATCCTGAACAGACTTAATGAATCATTTAATTTATTCAGAGTTCACTCGTTATTATTATTATTATTATTATTTTTTAACAGAAGACAATAGATTTGCACGCTTGTTAAAATTACAATTATTATTATTATTATTGAAAACTACTAACCTTTTTAAACGATTTCGGAGTTTTTAATGCGTAATACAGAGCGAGAGAACAAAAATCCGACACGTCGTTGGCATCTAATCCGGATGGCATTGCCGCTATGCTTTCCACTATTTTTCCTTTAGGTTCACTTTTAAATGCAGTCATTTGTTCTCTCCAATTGATAACGATAACAAGACACAAGAAAAATATAAAAAAAGGATTATTCTGTTGAAAATAATAATCCCATATCGACTGAACCACTTTTAAATAACAAGTTCCGGAGAATAAATTTTTAAACCATGAACTCGCGTACAGGTCGGGCGTGACTTTTTTCGTATCCAAAAATGAGCACAGTTCAGGATCGTGATACAATATCAACAACCTTAATAAATTAAATATATCCTTGGAATTTTTTTTCGGCAAAAACCTTTTCACTATGGCTTCGAATATGTTATAAGTGTCGGATTTTGGATTTTTAAGCGCTAAGATGGGTAGGAGGAGTTCTATCCAACCATTGTCCTTTGTGTATTTTAAATTATTCGACTTGCAGTAATAAGTCAGAATGCTTTCCAGGTCGGAAATAACCGATACCTTATCACAATCATCGTTTCCTAATTTGTCAACTATATTTTGACAATCTTGTCGTAATAAATCTTGTTCCGGCAAATCGTAAATCTCGTTGAAATTCGTCAATTGATCTTTTTTCTTTTGTATGTCCAAACACGCCTGCCATGCTTCTTTCCGAATGTTATCCGGGAATGATTTACCTTTGCAAATTTCGTAAACTCGACCGGCGGAGCAATTTTCCATCAAAGCTCCCTCCAGCTCCAAAATCCTAAAAACAAATATTTTTTATGTAAACAACAAACAATTTAATAAATCGTCCTAATTTTTTTTTTTGTAATTTCACGCGGTCATCGATTGTTTTCAATGAATTTTCATTAACGAATAAAATTAAATTAAATGAAGCTTGGCGAAATTTTTTTTAAATATAAAATTTCATTGAATGAAAATAAAAATAGTAAAATATTAATAATAGTATTTTTTCATTTATCACATATCGCATTACAAGTTATGTCATTAATAAAAAAAATGAACTTCTCAAGTGATTTATAAATAAATCCACTTGTTAAAAAAGATTATTATTAAATCGTTTACTCATTATTAATTTTTTGTCATTATTTTAATTAATACACATTTAATAACAAAACTAAAAAGTCGAGACATCCTTAAGAAAATTATTCTCTGGGGGGGGGGGCGGGGGGAGAGAAATAATAAATTAAAATTTGACAAAGAATAATTTTTAATTGAAAATATGAAACTGATAACTATTTTGTGTGTGTATATAATAAAGCTTAACAAAGTTAACAAGAAACTATGTAAACAATGTTAAAATAAATATAATTTTTTTTTGTAACCATGTTCACAACCTAATTTACAAAAAGACTGAGATAAAAAAAATAAATAGGCATTATAAATCCATGCCTAAAGATAAAAGGTAAATAAGACAAAACAATAATGAAACTATGAATAATTCTAATATTGCTCCATTTAATAATATCAATTTTCAATGTTATTAAAAGTTTTTAAAAAAAACGGTAAAACCAAAGTAATTAATTTAAAGAATTTACAATTTTTCACTTTTAACCAACCAAAACTAATTTATGAACCATTAAATTTTTAATTTATGAACAAAAATATTTATATATGGTTCATGAATTTTAAAATTTTTATTTTTTCAAACTTTTTTATTTATTATTTTTATGACAATTTTTTTATCGCTCGTGATTTTAAAATCTAAAATTGAATTATTATCAAATTTCATTTAGTAAATTTAAATTGTTATGGTAATAATTAATTTAATATATAAACATATTCATTCCCTAATCATTTGATTAATCAAAGACCCCACATAAAAAACTACTCAGCAATTTTAAAAAAAAAATACCAAACCGATTGTATTAAAGTAATGTATTTCAATTCAATATGACAGTAATTTTAATTTAAATAATTGTATTCGAGCAAGTACTGATTCATTAATTATTATTTAAAAAAATCAATGACAATAAATAATTTTTAATAATATTATTAAAAATATGTTTATTGTTTTTAAAACAATTATTCTAAACCCACCACCAGTGATTATATAACAAGTACTTTTAATATAATTTAAAAACCAATGTCATCTGATAACATCTTTCAGTTCATTTTGACATTGTCTCAAAACAAAAAAAAATCGTATTGACAAAAAGTTTTTAAATATTGTAATAAATATGTATTTATATATCATGAGATTTTTTAAAAAATATCTTCAATGGTTTCAAAATAACTTTATTGTACTTTATGTTATCATTTCATTAAAGTTATGATAAATATTGGTAAAAAGTTATGTTAAATTATTATTATTAATGCATCACTAGTAAACTTTGAGAAAAGGTAAATAATTTTTTGTTTTAATTTATGACACATAAAATATTAGACATTTAAAATGAATTAGATCTTTAATAGTGTAAACAAAATTAGTACTCACCACGTACTCTCATCCTCGTTTTCCGCCATATTATGGCTCGTTATGGTTTCAGTGACCTAAACTAACGTAATATCTCAGAGTACGTTCAGTTATCAAGAAAAGTAAATAATAAGCAGGCTGCCAATATCTTTAAGTTTGCATTAACATGTTTTCAAATTAATGTTTTTAATCGTGAAATTAATAAAAGAAACGCTAATGCTTTAAGCAAAAACTAAAATTTTTGGTTTCAAAAATTTCAGAGACAAAAAAATATTAAAGGCTCTTTTAAAATATCAATTTTTCAATTTTTTTTCTAATAATCATTTTTGTAATTGGTAAACGTTTTCGAGTTTTAAAATGAAAATGGCTGATACTGGAAGTCCCGTGGGTAAATATGGTAATAAATGGCAGTTAGCATTGGCAGTCGGGCTTCCAGTTGCTGTCGGTGTGGGTTACTGGTACTTAAACAATAAAAATAAAAAAAGAAAAGTCAAAGAATCAGATAGAAAGATTGTAGGAAAATTACGAGACACGGTTATAGATACCGACAAGTCTGCTAAAAGAGCTGGAGAACCTATAGCAAAGGTCTGCCATGTGATTTTAATTTCAAAAATTTTTTCTAAATTAGATATGCAACTAGTTTTTTCCAACATTTTATATACATTTGAAAAATTATTGTATCGTTAAATTACTACAACTATAAAATTTTTCTTCGAATCGTTTGCTATTTCAGACACCCCTGGAATTAGCAACTGCACTTAAAGAAGAAGGCAACAAACATTTTAAAAATTCACAATTTGAAGAAGCTATTTCCAGTTATGAAAAAGCTATTGAAATATGCCCTGAAAAAGAGACCATTAGTTTGGCTACATTTTACCAGAATAAAGCAGCAGCTTATGAGCAATTGGTACTTGAAATTAATATTTTATCAGTTTCTGTTTTTGTGATGATTGAATTTTGGTTGTACTACCTAAAACAATATGATCACCCTAGCAGAAATCAGTCAATGTCACAGTTATTTGATTTTAGCAAAAGTATGAAGATGTAAAAGAGGCATGCACCAAAGCTTTATCATATAATCCTGTTTATACTAAAGCACTTACAAGAAGAGCTAAAGCTTGTGAGCATTTAAAGGACTTAACACAAGCTCTTGAAGATGTGACTGCTGCTTGCATATTAGAAAGTTTTCAGTCTCAATCAACTTTACTATCAGCTGATAGAATTCTTAAAGAATTAGGTCGGCAACATGCCAAAGAAGCCATGGCAAAAAGAGTACCTGTCATGCCTTCAGAAATTGTTATTAAAACTTATTTCTCAACCTTTGCAAATGATCCTATTAACTCATTTTTGTCTAAAACTGATGGAGATAACTCTAAGTAAATATTATTTTTTATAATTATTAAACTTTTAACATGTTTTTAAATTAGTTACATTATTATACAGATGAACAACCTTGTGTTCGTTTAATTTCACAAAAAGCAAAGTTGTAGATAAATATTTTTATAAAAAATTTATTTATTTGCGCAAATATTTGCCATAAATTTATATAAAAAATTCTAATGAATAACTATTAACTTTATTTGTTGCAGAGGATACCTCAAAGCAGTTGAATGCTTTAAAAACAGAAATTATGAATTAGTCATACCTGCTTGTACGGAAGAAATTAATTTTACCGAAGCAGAGGCATTATTTAAAAATGAAGCTTTGGTTCTTAGGGCAACTTTTTACCTTTTTACTGGAGAAAATCATTTAGCATTATCTGACTTGGACATGGTAATTAATAACAAAGAGGCTTGTGCGAGAATAAAATCAAATGCATTAATTAAAAGAGCATCAATACATATGCAATTAGAAGACTTTACAGCTTGTACAAATGATTTTAATTTTGCTGTCGCAACTGATGAAGAAAATTCTGATATTTACCATCATAGGGGTCAGGTAAATTTTTAAATTTTTTAATATTATCAAATATTTGTTATAAGTTTAAAATTATTATTATTATTATTGTTCTGTTTATATTTAATCCTTATATAATGATGAGGAATGTTTCTATTTTCTAATTGTATAACTTGAACCTTTTTGCTTCTTTAGTTAGTGTTTCCTCAATTCCTCATCGCAAAGTATAATTTTAATTGTTGACTCGAAAGGTTTTTATCCCCTTTAATTATTGATATTTTAATTTTCCCTCATCTTTGTCTTTATTCGTTTTTAAAAATTATTATTAATGTTTGTATCTTACATATTTAAAATATTGATAAGTTTTATATTGTGTTATTTTTTAACTGTTATAAGGATTAAATAATGAATATGAATATGACTTTGTTTTTCAGATAAATTTACTTTTGGAAAAAGTAAAAGAAGCTTCTGAAGATTTCAATTTATCTGTAGCCCTCAACCCTAAAAATCCTGTGTCAGTGGTTCAAAAATGTTTTACAGATTATCGAATGGCACTATTAAACAAAGATATTAATTCCATTAACAACATGATGAAAAAATTTGATGATATATTAAACGAATATCCAGACTGTACAGAATGTTATGCTGTTTATGCTCAAGTTAGTTAACCTTTTTTATATACATATTTTTTTTTGTAAAACTATGGTTTCAAATTTGAAAATTCATGTATTTTTTAAAATTAGGTATTAACTGACCAACAAGAATTTGCTAAAGCCGATGAACTATTGCAAAAGGCGATAAAAGTGGATCCTAATAATGCAGCACTCTTGGTTAGGCGTGCCATGCTTGTTTTACAATGGACAGCCGATATAGAGACTGCTGTTAAGTACATTAAAGAAGCTTTGGAAATCGATGAAAAATGCGAATTTGCTTATGAAACCTTAGGCACTATCGAAGTACAAAGGTAATTTAAAAAACAATTTTTTAAATTTATTTATAATATTTATGTGTCACAAATTTAATTTCTATTTCCTTTTTTTTTTTTTTTTTCCAGGGGAAATTTAGTAAAAGCAATAAAAATGTTTGATAAAGCTATAGCATTGACAAAAACCGAATTAGAAATGTCTCACATATTTTCATTAAAAGATGCTGCCAAGGCACAGAAAACGGTTTTAGAAAAATTTAATATGTGCTTACCAAGAGTGTTAAATTAAAAAAAAAAAAAATTATTTTTCCACTGTTACATACCTTGGTTGTATTGTATAGATAACATGTAGATAATTTAGTCTTTGCTAATTGTTATTAAGCAGAGAAAAAGATGAATAGTATGAATTGAATAATAAATAAGAAATCCTGTGCATTTATTTGTACTTTATTAGCATTTTATTTTAATTATTATTTGTTGCTTATATTTTTTTTTTTTTTTTTTTAAATAAAAAATAAAGGTAATCATGTTTTCACTCCTTGTTTATTCTTAGTTAAAATATTTTAACTACAAAATACAAAAATATGATTTTGTGTCGATATTAATGATCAACATGTAGTAAATGAAATGTATTTGTAAAACAAGTATAAAGAATATTGGGCATTTTTAATTATGACTCAAAAATTTGAGCTTATGTAGAAATGAAATGTTTTAGATTTTAAATTATTTAAATTAAAAAATAAAAATCTATTTTCATATATTATGAATACTTTTATTATTATTATTTAAATAAAATTCTTTTATGACATCTACATATAAATGAATACTCGCTTTAAGTCGTTACTACCGAAAAGAAAAAGTTAATTATTTTTACCTTTAATAAAATAAACATTAATAATATTTATTATTTTGAAAAAGAATTAATAAATTTGGCATGACTTTTTATCATTAAATGGTTAATTTCTCAACTTTAATAATTAATTAATCGTACAAATTGATAAATTCACCTTAATAATAGTAGATTTGACCTTGAATAAAAAACATTACCATACTTATAATTGAAACAAGGTTAGTTAATAGGAAAGGATTAATTGAAAAAATAATAATAATAATTCTTATTTAAATAATATTATTTATCCTACATACAAGTTTATAAATGAAAAAAAATTAAAAAGTTTTCTCTACAAAATATCTTATCGGCTATCCTAATTGAATCGATATCCTGATAAATTACCCCTAGCAATGACTTCTCCAACGAAAAACCAACAAATGACTTCAGTTGTTACGATGGCATTTAAAAAAGCTTCCTAGAATTAAAAGTACAGGTTTACACAGGTACGTGTGACATTAATAATTTTTTTTCCCTTGTGAAAATTAAACCTGGCACTTCATTATTTAGATTAAAAAGAATAAAAAAAATTTTTCCCTATTTTTTAATGGTTACCTTTACGGTTAAGTTTTTCCAATTTCCTTTTTTATAACCATCAACAAGTTTTTTTATATCTTCTTTAATTCTAGGTATATCTTTAGGTTTTGGTGGAACTAATTCTACTTTTGCATAGTACCAAAATTTTTGTAATTTAGGAGTACCCTCTCTTATTATAACTAAAATAAATATATATTAATAAATTAAAAATTTTCAAACGGAAAAAAATTTAACCTAAAAGTACGTAACGCCCATGACGAATTTAAAATTTAGTTACGGAAAATCACATCGTGAAAATAAATATTTAAATAAAATACTTACATGAAGTTAAATTTCCTAATTTAGCTGCGACTCCTGCCATTTTTTCGTTTCGTAAGGAAAAAAAATCCGAGCAAATATTTTTTTCACTTTACGACAAAGGAAATTTTCGAAAATTCCACTACAAAGGAAATTTTACACTCAAAGGAAAACTCACTTATTTAAATCGAACTATTTTTTTAAAATATTTTTTAACTATAAATAATTATTTATTGCATTTACTCTTTAATTTCCTCAGTCAATTTTATAAACGAAAAAAAATTTAAACTTTTGCTATAATTCCGATTCGTTAAACTAAATCAGTGACGTCACTCACATAAAGGAAAAAATGGCGTTTGAAAAATTTCTTCTGCTAGAGAATAATGGCGGGCGCTGATTTTAAATCGTTCACATAGAGCCAACGTTTAATCTTTTAAAAATAACTTTCGACTCTTATATTAATATAATTATTATTTTTTACTCGTTTTTTAAAATTTTCACTACTTTTTTTTTAAATAAACGAATACATTTATGATATTTCTTTTTAGATTTCTAGATCAAAAAGAAAAAAAAAAACTTGTTTTCATTTCAAAAAAAAAATGCTTTAGGGTTGAATTTTGTAAATATAATAATTTTTTTTTATATCTTATATTATATAAAAATATATTCGCATAAATATCTAACTTTAAGATATAAGATTTCAGTATAAACAGATAAATATAAAAAACTTATAATTTTTTCTTATGTACACATAAAACTGATAGAGAAATTTTATTATTGAATGTGAATA